CGCCCGGGGAGCGGCTGGGTCGCCGCCGTGGGCGAGAGGCTTCTCCTTCCTTCCCCGCGGAAAGGGCTCTAATGCGCAGCATCGCCCGTTAAGGTCACCATGGCTGACAGAGCTGCTGCTGAAAGGGCTTGTAAAGACCCCAACCCCATCATCGATGGCAGGAAAGCCAACGTGAACCTGGCGTACCTGGGTGCCAAGCCGCGGATAATGCAGCCAGGTGAGGAAGTGGCCCTGAACGGCTTTTCTCTCCGTACCTCAGGTTTCTGAAGAGACTAAAACTTCAAGAAAGGTAGTGCTGTGCGGCACTTTCCTGACGTACACTCAGTGTTTGGGTGTGCTTTGGTTTTGATTTTTAAATGCAGCGTGTGGTAACTTTCTGGCTATTTTGTACATGTGCCTTATTTAAAAACCAAAAGCAATCGGAGATAAAATATCTGCAGTTCCCCAGGAAGACTTCCACAGCTCAGACGCTTCATTGGTTATTCCTACTGCTGGGAATGTGGTGGCGCTGACCATTTACAGTATCGTTGCAGGGAAAGATTGGCCTCGGAATTAATCGCTTCCAATGTGTGCGGTCTTATTAATACAAACAATATCTTAATGCAGACTCCTCAAACAGATGGGAGCTATTGTGCAGACTTTAAAATGAAACGGCTCTTCCTGAGACCACATCTGAGCCGATCTGATGTCCTAGCCGCTTCCCAAACTGCGGCTTTGCAGCAAGGGAGACGGGAGCGCAGCGTGCGGGCACGTTTATCCTCTAAAGGAGGCTGCTCTGAATTCCCGTGTACTTAGCCTGAGGAACACTTGTAATTAAGTGCCCACCAAGGAAGGAAAGGGTTTATGCTTGGGTGCTTGAAGAACAGAAATGAAGTTAGGATTTGACCCCCGTGGCAAGTCCTCATGAGTAGAGATGGCTCGAATTTAAGTCTGTAGAAAGTACACAAATACACTGATGAACAGAAAGCACCGTATAATCCTTCAGAAGCTAAAGTTGGGGACCAGAATGGAGCACAAAATAAAATGTGAATGAAAACCTTGTGCTGCTTGTTTAGAAGAAGTCGTTCTTCTAAACATCTCTCGGAAAGCGTGTGCTTTACTGTTCTAAGTTCTGTATGCATGCATGTATGTGTGCGCATGTATATATGGATTGATGTATTTTGCTTTCTAATCTGTGGTTCTGCAGCCTTTCAGACATCGTCACTGGAGGTTGTTAGTGAAGGCTGTTACTCTGCGTTTGTGTGTGTGTGTATATATAGCGTAAATAAGTGGCCAAAAGAACACCCATACAGAGAATGTGATGTGTTTTTGTTGGTAGGTTTTGCCTTTGGTGTCCAGCAGCTTCATCCAGCTCTCATACAGAGGCCTTTTGGGTAAGTCCGTTCAATGGGACCTCAAATAGGGGAGGAAAAATCTTGTTTTTAAAAAAGGAGAGAAAAAGTATGATCCTTGAAGGCCTCTTGCAGTAGCAGCCTTATAAACTCACCAGCAATGCTGAAGTTCTCAGACTTCTAAATGTATACCCGTAAATGCGCTCACCTTGTCGGTCATGTTCTAAATGCCGCAGCTGAGTCAAGTTGTGTGGGACGTGTCCCTTCCACCTAAGCAGTCCAGTCCCGTATGACCCTATGGTAAAACAAGGAGGTATGACTTGATGCAAGATTGCTGTGTCCCATTTCTCTTTTTTCAGCTTGACTCAATGTTATTTATCTCTTTCTAATCTGACAGGGATCGTTTACAGTTAAGATAACTGATCAGAAGGATATGATGATAAGAGGTGGAATAGTTCTGTTTGGAATTAAACTCTGTAACCAGTAGACTCAAACACAAACAAGCTAAAATGGTGATTAACGATGCATGTATGTTTTTTTCATATAGTCAATAGACCTCCGTGTGCTTTTTTTTTATTTATTTATTACAGTAATGAAGTGGTGTTGATAGCTAAACTGTGTGCTTTTATTTAATTGAAAGAGCTGTAGTGGAAGTTTTTTGGGGGGCTCTTTTTAATTTTGTTTTTGTTGTTGAGGAGTGACTTTGCCATGGGGAGCAAAGGGCCTTTTTTTTTTCCTTGCTTTCAAGCTGTAGCCTGTGACTTTTTTAACCATATTTTGTAGTGAGTGCTAAATTGTGTGACTTCTTGATTTTTAAGTAAATCAACGTATTGCTTGCATGTTCATAATTTGGGGGGGGGGGGGGGTTTTTGGGGGGGGGGGGGGGGCCCTTTTTAATTATTAACAATGTGCGTCCATTTGGGCTTTCTAATTTGAGATCTTTTTTTCTTCAATCTGTCTTTAATATGTAGCGCATTTCTCCTTTACTTGAGTATACTGTTCCTAAGTAGATCTAACTCTTGCTTCTTATAGGCATATGATTAGGAGGTGAAGTCTGCTTTAAACTTTCCATACAGTGTCACTTCACTAATGCACACTGACTGAGAAACTCATTGCAAAATAATGCATTTTGCTAATTAATGAGTAAGCTAACAATAAAGTAGGGAAAATGCGTCACAAATTTATTTTGTTTATTTGACTAGAATAGCTTTAGAATATTGTACCTAGCTGTTATTAAGCAACGATAGCTTCTTGGTAGTTTGATTTGTAGAAACGGTAGAAAACAGTTCCCGTCCTCAAAACTGTAGGAAAAAGTTTTCATAGAAACTTTATGTACTTTGAAAAGAGAATGTTGATTCTTCTGAGACACATGGGGAGGTTGTGGAAAACTTTTTGTCCTTTTTTTTTTTTTTCTTCTTACGATTATCCTCTACTGTATTTTGTTTGACTTCTTTTAAGTGTGAGGAAACGACAGTGATCAGTTTATGATGCCTGCGCTAAGGTAGGCAGGAGGCGGAGCGCGTTGTCTCCAGAGCTGTTAAAGCACTTGTTGCAAAGAGGAACCCGTGGACTGCCCGGGGATCAGCCGTGGAGAGACTGAGTATTTGCTGAGCACAACAGAAAAGGAGAACCTGTGGCAATCTTTTGGCAATTAAAGGACTGCACAAATGTAGGGCTCTTTATTGCTTTCCTTAACCAGAGCCAACAATAGATGATGTAAATCGTGTTTAGGTCAGGGAAATCCTTCCAGCAGGCTGAATAAGGTTTTATTTCTAATGCAATGTACATAAATCTGAAGAAAAGGAGTGTTGGTCGCAGGGTCATGTATATATGAAATCGGTCATTTTTAATCCTTGGCTTTTGCCTTTCTTTTACTATGTGCAAACAAAGGAGGTTACTAATCCTGCTTCCTCCTCAAAATTTCCAATGACTTGTACCTTTTCTGAAGAGTGTAGTTCAGATTAAGAAGAACAGCATTCGTTAGGATGAATGAACACCTTCATTCACTATATTCCTTGACGATAAGAGGGGTTGTTTCAGTGCTTACTTGAATCTACTTTCATTGAAGAGTTCACTCTTAGAGGATGTGACATGGATTGCACTGAAATATATGGACACCTGAAAGCCTGCCTTCCTCCTGTGCAGTTGCACTTTTTTTAAAAGCACACTTTACTAATATGCTGTGTAAAATGGTTTGTAGTGGTGATTCACTACCAATACTCTGCTAATCTATACACAAAAGCACCAAATGTTTTGTGTTTTTTTTTTCCCTACCAGAGTGCAAATTAGTAAGGTGCTGCCATATTCTGGTATGGTCAGAAGGGTTTTGATATGGTTCTCCACCTATCAAACAAGAAACTGAAAATAATTGGATTATGTTACATTGCTTTTACTGAGAAGATACAGAAGTACAATATTCTGAATTAAGTACAACATTATTGTGGTGGAGGGAGCCAGAAACTAGATTACCTTCAATGCATGAAGCATTTAAAATGCTGGGAATTTTTCTTTATTCAGTGCTGCAGAGATCAATTCATCCACCAAATAACATTTCTCCCTGCTCTTTACATTCAGTATCTATCTTACTGTTGGTGTGTTTCATAGAAAGCTGTTTGATCACAGGACTGGTTATCTATACAGCTCTGTTTTCAGGATTGTTTATTAAAATACTATCTCTGAATGCAGTAGGAATTTATGGAGGGGGAAGATGACTTTGCCTCCTAAGATAGCTGTTCTCATTTTGCTTATGTAATTTTTACTTTAATATTGGTGGGAAAATATGGGGTTATACAGAGGTATTGGTGTAAGATATGACTCATTCTGTTGGAGAGACTTTTTTCCCTTCATTTTCTGTCTAAAACTTGTACCTCGATCAAAATGAGAACATTCCCACTGTTTTTAGTAAGACCAAGTTAAATCCAAAGTTATTAAGTTCGTTATCAAATGGTTAGCTGATACTACCTGCTTGGTATTATCTTCCAAGAGTAAGGCCATTCTGCCTTTCTTCAGAGAGAAGGAAAAGCCATCTCTTGAGTTTATGATCAAAAGACCTGTATAATACTAGACTACAGATAATCTGGAAGGAGGGAATGAAGCCGGAACAGTCAGAAGTTAACCTACAGAATGCTAAATGTCCTCTAAATGGTATCAGGCACAAATTTAAAAGGAAGCATATTAAGGGTCTTGTATGTCTTGACGTTTACGTAACCTATTTCTGCTATAAGGAAAGCTGTGCATTGGTGAAAATCTACTCTTTAATTATGCTTACAAAACCAGATGATGCCATGCAAGGGCCAAAGCAAAACATTTCATTCAAAGTTAAATATCTACTTTCACAAGAATTCAATGTTGAGGGTCAATGATGTGCTACTACTGCTGGATTTCTATATGCCACAGCTCTCTGCATTAGTCTAGAAAGTCCTTTCTTTCCTTTGAAACAATTAGCTTTCACTTTATTATTGCTTATAGGATTATTTTTGAGGTCTTAGTTAAACACAAATCTTCTGTTATAACAACAATGAAGGTCTTAAGGCACATGGCAGGAGTGTATGTCATTCCATTTTGAATATCCCAAAGCTACAGTTACTGCTAAAGTTAAATGTGGCTTCCCTTTTCCTTTATTGCAAAAGCATAAAACAGTAAATACATGTTCCAAAATAAAAACTACTGCCAGGAAAGAAAGTTTAAACGATGTATAAATCTCACACTCTTACTCTCAAAAGTAAAGCAGCAGCTTTTATTTAAAATTAGGGATACTGAGGATATCCTGCGTAACTGGGAATTGCTTTTTCAGCTTTTGACCTGGCAGAGCATTAAAAGCAGTTGGGTTCTGAATGGCTGAGATCTGCATGTGCTGGCCTCTGCAGTAGGTAGAAATTTACTTTGGCCATATAAAGCCATTTTACTCGACTCAAAACAGTTGTAGCATGACAGATGATCAAAAATAGCCCCACTGCAGCTTATGCTGTCAATCATCATGTGTGAAATGGCATGGTGGTGAGGAGCCTGCACCGGGTTTATGTTTATTGTAGGGTAAGATGTGGCAAACAGATAATGTTTCATAACTTCACCACCTGTTAGTTTCTTGGCTTAAATAAAACAAGTCACAAGAGTTTAAGTGGGAGCACATGGATCTTTCTGTCTTGTTCAAGGATATGGCCGTGTCCTAATGTCTTCAGAAAATCTTAGTAACATCAGTTCAAGTCAACACAAGCAGCTAGCTAAGCTTGCTTACTGTCTCTTCTGTTAGAATTACTCCCTTTCATAAATGCTGTATGTAAAGGCTCCTTTGATGTGGTGTTAAATGGACTCTTAATGATGCAGAAGAGGCTCTCAGTGACTTCAAATTCGGTTTTACACCCCTTTCCTTAATACTTAAAAAACATGGTGTTATATTTATTAGGACTGTACTTGATTGGTGACCAATACAAAATGCTTGTTTATGTTAATCCATTTTGTATAGAGAGCTCAGGTAATGATGTGTATTTAAATGCACAGAGCCAGCTTAAGTATGCTTCAAATGCACTTCTGGCTAATCACTTCATAAATTAGGTGAGTGTTAAAAACCCAACTTACGGTTTTGTTTTATGTTTTCTTTCCTTTCCCAATCCCTATTTGTCACTCTTTTTTTTTTTTTTTCATTTCTCCCTTCACACAGTAGGAAATGAATTTCATTGACATGTTGGGTTTTTATGATTGTGGTGTTCATGTCTTAAACACGGCAACTGAACATTTCTCTCTGCTAATATTCCTATTCAATCAACTGAGCTCTTTTTTTCTTAAAAAGAAAACTAGGCTGTTCTAAAGCCTGACTATCACTTACTCTAAACTATGTTTCACTATGAATCTAGTTGACAGTGTCCCTTCTGATTGAAATGTTTCCTTGTTGTCCACTTAAGTAAATCTTGAAGTTGTTTTAAAAATGAAACAAAAAGACTCCAATAAATCTTGAGTTTGGAGAAAAGAGGACAGTTTTTACCGTTGCAATTTGCATCTGTGCTTACAGTATGCTAAAAGGTTGGTGCAGTCTTTAGAGTTGTCTGTAAAGGTAAAGTTCAGTATGAAATAGTAAATCTGCACAAGCATTTTTTCATGGATTTATAAAGATTCACTGACTGGAAAGGAGTTGCAGCATATGAAGGACTTCTCTGTGGAAATCCAGATGCAAGACAGGGTTATGAATGTAAAATGAGAATTATATTGAGTATATTACCTTTTAAAATCATGTCATATGATAAAATACAACTATGAGATGAACACGTATGTACACCCGTGTGCTAAGACAATGATACAACCAATTTTCAAAACCAAAGGGCTAAGTAAACAAGCCAAGGAGGCAAATTTTGTGACTTGGAGACAATGGGAAAGTGTGTGTACTGATCTGTTCAGAATGGTTATTTCTTAAGCTGTAAATTTGTTTTTTTGCTTTTGTTAAGTACCAGATCTATTTAGACTTAATCCTATGCCCACCTCCCAAAAAACTCTATGCTGTATGTCTTGCATAGAAATAAACAAGCTGGCACAAAACAGGACATCAGTGGCCTGATAATCAAACAGGTTTGACCCTTGTGTCCTTACGAACTTTTATAAAAGTGTGATGCACATGTACTTAGGAGTCACTGTTATGGATTTTAATAGCATCTATGTAGCTTCCCCTCAATGGCCTCTTGTGACGGAGTGAGCTGCACTATCGTTCGTTTGGAAAGTGTGATTCTTGCTGTGTTTACCACACTTGTGAACTTTATTTAAACTCCTTTGTCGCCTGTGTTGGTTTTTTTCTTATTTTTAATAAGGGTGACTGAGGTTGCAGAGAAATTAATGTGTGCTGAGTCTGCATAGCAACTTAAGTAGGGTTGCCACAATACACTCTCCCCCCCCCGGCCCTCCCTGAGAAGACTTTACATAAAGTCAGGGTTCAACCATTTTGTTGCCTTATTGGCCATTGTCAAACTCATTATAGTGATGCTGTCAAACTGCTCAGTTACTAATAATAAAAGTATTGCAGGAAATAATTTTACTAAGAGTCGAGTAGTTAAGTGAGAAGCAGGGTAATAAAAATTACTTCCAGGTGATTTGAAAAACAAATACCACAATTTTCCAGATGGAATAATCAAGCTTACTCCTTTAGAGTTGTCTTAACTGACATCAGTAATCCTGGTCCTTCTAAAGATTTTAATAGCATTAAACATAATATCCTCAAGCAACATTAAACACTCCTATTTAACTCAGCTATAATGCTGTGCTTTGGAGCGACGCATCTCTTCGGGCCAGTGAACTGATAATTGGTCCATTGAGTCTAGTTATTGTGGCAACCCTATGCACATAACAACAACTAAATTGAGTTTGTTTTAGTTCAGAGTATGGATATGACGCTTAGGCGCTGACTTGCGTACCAACTCTAACTCCTTCTCCCATCTTTCAACAGGATACCTGCTCACTATGTCTATCCACAGGCTTTTGTGCAGCCCGGAGTGGTAATTCCCCACGTTCAGCCCGCAGCAGCCGCTGCTTCCACTACACCCTACATCGATTACACCGGAGCTGCGTATGCCCAGTACTCGGCTGCCGCCGCTGCCTATGAGCAGTACCCGTACGCCGCCTCGCCAGCTGCCCCTGCCCGGGAC